AGATCTTGGAAGGGCCAAGGTGTCCAGATCTTTCAAAGGAACAGAGGTAGTGAAGAAGGGGGTGAAAGATGCCACACTAGCCCATTTTTCTCTCTTTGGAGGTTTCTGAGGAAGCCTGGGAGGATGCTGAAGAAGGCATCTGAACTTAGCAGGGCTGTGCCTGGACGCTAGCAGTAGGATCCTGCTTTGCTGGTATTGTGGATGTACGGGCCGCTGTCAGGTCTCTTTATCCCATTGCTGTCCCCAGGCTCACAGGAAGGACTGCTGCAGGCATCCTTCACGTTGGAGGACTAAAAAGATCCTGTCTGTTCTCAGAGTCCTGCATTGGTTCATATGTAAAAGATGTTATTTGCAACTGTTGCTTTTATTAGTTTCTGTAGGGGATGCCCAGAGGTTGAGTGGTCTCTGAGGAGACAGTAGGGCTGCCTCAGGCCGGTTTTTGGCAGGTTCTGGTGGCAAGACACAGCCCCAGCCCCTCAGCTCCACTGGTGGTGCCTTGGAGAATCTGAGGTAAGAAAGGGGAAAAATGCTGGGAAAATGAAATGAATGAGGGAAAAAAGTGTGAGGAACAGCCTTGCAAACACCAGGGTGAGAAGAGAAGGCTCCAGATGCCAGGCCAGAGACTTCCCTGCTGCTTGTGCTCCAGCATGGGGTCCTCCATGGGCTGCAGCAAGGATGGCTTCAGAAGGAACCTCCATTGCCCTGCACCCCTCAAGCTGGGGGAAGGACTTGGCAGTGAGGGTGACAGTTGGGTCCTGGAAAAAGGGGTAGGATGAGGCAAAGGTGTGTTTATTTCTGCCTGGTTTGTGCTGTTATCTACTTTAATTGGCAGTAAATCAAATTTCCCCTAGTTGTGACAGTGATTGGTGGGTGATCTCCCTGCCTGAGCTTTTCTGTCTTGCATCCTCTGTTCCTGCTGAGGAGAGGAGTGAGGGCAGCTGGCTGGGCAGCTGGCCACAGTCAATCCACCACTGTTATATGCACTTAAATCCAGTAGGAGCTTTACATACTGGTGCAAAAATATTAGCTGTTTTGGTAAGTTACGCATCATGGAACTTGAACAGCAATTCCTGGGCAGAACATGATTCTGGTCAGTATCTCTGGTGTGAGGGGGAAGCAAAATGAGAGCACAAAAGGGGACCCAATGACTTCTTATGAAAGTACTGTTTCAGAGACTGAAATGTAACAGACTGAGTAGAGGAGCAGGAGTGGAAGCCCTGAGGAAAAGATTGATAAATAGAACTCTTTGGCACCTTTGAGGTGGGTTGCTTGGGTTATTGTGAATGCTCGGGGAAGCTTGCAGCAATTTTTGTCATCAAGATGCTGGCCAGGAGGTTTTAGGATAGCCACTGTCAGAGCCAGGAAAGGCACTCAGATTTTCGTGTTGTGAAAGTTGGGATAGAGAGGAAAATAGCTGTTGCTTGTAGGAAAAGGTGAGCTGCTTCATGATAGCCTTATTTAAAGGAAGACCTTCATAAACCGTAAAATAGATGTTGTTGCTGGCGCTTGCAAATGTATCTCTTAAAGATTTCACTCAAGGTAAGCAATTTTTACACAGCAAATGCTCCATTTTTCACAAAAGCTTTGTGGCTTTTGCTGTACTGGTACTCCAGGTGATGAGTTAACAGCATGTTTTGCTTGTTTTTCTAGATTAAGATACACACCTTTTCTGTGCTTGGTGTGTTTTGATTTTTTTTTTTCACTGCTTCTTTTTTTAGACAACTTGATTCCTGATTTTAATTAGGGTTCCGAGATGTGTTACCCCAAAGTTGTTACCATTCTATCATTGGTAATTACATAAAATGCAGAACCTGCGCTCTGCCAGATTGCTCCCTCTTTTCCCATCAGAAGAGCAATCACTGATAGCTAAAAGGCTGTTTTTTTTTCTACTAGGGCTTTGATTAACTTTGTCAACCGTGTAGAATTGGGATAACAGCGTCTCTATAGGCCCTAATGTAGCTATTTTTACCTTTAGATTGTCCAATAAAGACCTTGACAAGAGTGGAGGAAGTGTTAGTTTTAGACAAAGGACTGGGATTTTATTTTTTGTTTCTCCAGCTCCCTTAATCATTCTGGGAGCAAAGCTGCTGCGTAACCAGGAGCCTCTTAAAATGCATCTTGCTGCATGGATGTGAAAAGTGAATTCCTGCTTCTTATGCCCTTGAGACCCAGAAAGTTTTTCTGGTGTTTAATGCTTCTGATTTCAGTGGTCTGGCTTTGGTGCTTTTCACCCTGCAAGTACCATTTATTTTGGAAGTGGTGGGCAAGCAAATCTATCTCAACTGAAACCCGTGTGGATGTACTTATTCCACACTTCATTGCTGAGGTGGTGAGCTGTTGATCATTTGTTTGCAGGCAAAGCTTGAAAACAAGTTCCTGTCCTCTGCCCCACACTGCTTTAGTCCCAAGCTTCATTTCTGCATAAAGCTGTTGGATTGCAGATATTGGATATTTCTCTCCACCTCCGTTTTAAAATAGCTGCCACCCTTCAAGAATAAAAATGATTGATACCTTAGGCTCTCCCTAACCTTCAATGGCAGAAGGTGGTGTTTAGGTCTCTGCTGACTGAGTTCATTTGTTCCCTTTTTTCTTTTCCTAACCAGTAGAGACTGTTTGCTTAGATAAGAAATTTCTAACAGCAGCATGTTTGGAACCACAGGAGTGACAGATACTTACAGTTTAACCAGTGTCTTTTCCTGTAAAATGTAATGGCAGCACACTGCTGTGGGGTTAATGAATGAGTCTTGCTTCAAACCTGAATCAGGGTGAAAGGATTGTCAAAAGAGGTTAAACCCTGGGGACTCCTCAGCTTTTTGATGAACCGCCCAACATGCCCTGTTTTTTAACTTGTTTTGCCTTTTCCCTTGTTCTTGCTTGTATTGTATGAGGGCAGGAGACTTCTGGAGCTAGCTTATACCTGTCAAATACTTGTGGTCTTCAGGTAAAGTCTTTAAGGATGCTAGCTGATAATACCTTTCAGTTATATAGCTCTTTTGCGATGGGATAATGCTGGGTTAAGTGGGGTTTAGGATTTTCTGGAAGCTGCCATGAAAATCTGGTGGAAAGGCAGGCTCTTGATGTGCAGTATTTCAGAAATAAATGATTAAATGCCATGTGAAAGGGAAGAGTAAAGCAGTGAAAAACACATATCTGAAAGTGCTAGCTCTGCCATGGGACTGGGTGAAATAAGTATATAAACTGCTTTGTGATAGCATGCTCTGACAGGAGCTTTTGAGTATTGCTGTATAAGTTCTGCCCACTTGCAATTGTATTTGGCCTGATACTATTTTTAGAAGGATAAAAATTGAAATTACTGGTTTCAAATAGGAAAAACTAGTCCTTTCCCCACCCCCACCCCAAACTTCCTATAGAGACTTCCCTTTTCTAGGTAAAATTTCCTCTGAAAATTGGCTTATGTGTGGTATGGCTTCTTATCATTGAAGCTTCTGACTGTTTTCATACTCTATTAGCGATGCCAAGGCAGCAGAGCTTGATTTGTCTAGGATGTGAGACACGTTTTGCTTGAGTGCTTTTTAGTTTTAAACCTGTTTTTCTTCAGGTGTGTAGAGGTGTTCCTGGTTGCTCAGTAGTAGCACATGGGTGTTTGTCAGTCCAGAAGACTTGCTATTTTTGCACAAGCAAAAAGGCAAAATTGTCCTTTGGTTCCCAGTACATAGGGTTTGGGTTTTTTCAAACGTTACTTTTGCCAAAACAGACAACTTACAACTTAATTTCAGTTACAGCTGTTTAATGCCTCGTTCTCTTTTCCTGTAAGCTGGCTTGACTGTGGGAAGCTGAAAATGCAATTGCAAGGAGGAAAACTGAAAGTTAGTTGACTGATTTTCATTAAGACAGTGTAAAACAGAGTGTAAATAAAGCACAAGGGAGGGTGAATTTCTAGAGCTGTCAGTGCCGTGACCACCTGGGCCATAGGTCATGCTTTCAAGACACTACTGTAGATGAAACACTCCTTGATTGGTATAGCAGACTTCAGAAGAAAAGTGAAGTAGCAGATAAAGCTATTTTAAGTAGGTTATTGAAAGCAACCTCACAAAATATGGAGGTGTGGACAATTTGGCAGGGAAATAATCAACAGCCTGGCTTTTATTTGCAAACTTCTGATAGAAATTTACTTAAAAAAAACAAGTCCTAACTGTGAGATACCTCTATAGAAATGCAAGTTTAGCAGCTGTATTTTAGACCGTAGGAACGCCCATATTACACCACAACTGTTGAAAAATGTGACTGGTAGTCACTGAAATACATACCGCTATAGGCAGATGACAGCTGGTGTTGCGTCTTTTGTTTAAAATTTGTCCCTCTTGTGCTAGAATTGTAACTTCCCTGTTGGGGGAGGATTGCAGTTTAGCTCAGTATCACAACTTTTTGTTTTCTTCTTGAAAAACTTGTTCTTCTATGAACAGGCATATTTACTGCTCGTAGCTTGTAGAGTTTGGCTTCTCTCTGTAAGGACAAAAAATACACTTCAGCACTGAAAACAGCCTAAAAGAGCGAACCTAGGAGAATCCACAACTAACCTAACCCTCCTCCACTCTTATGCTAATACTTCCTTTTTTTTTCTGTAACCTTTTAATAACTGATGCTTTTATGACTTCTACTTTCCATACCTGCATAGTAATATAAACTTATTTCTTAAAATGATTAGCTCAATGTGGCTTTAAAAATGTGGTTTACACTGGGGGGAAGGGGGGAGGGAATAACAGCTGTTCCGTTATAGATTCTCACTCAAAACTATGTGCGCTAAGAGTGAGGTGCGTGGAGGTGAACTTGGCTGAAGGGGGAAACCCTACCGGGTGACAGATGGTGAGAGAAGAGGCTGTTCTTGACAGGCGTTCTTGAGGCGGATGGGAGGAAATGCCCAGCGCAGGCACTGGGGCAGGTGATGGCGGGAGAGGGGACAGGAGGTGGCACTGTGGTGTGATTCCGCCAGACGAGCAGCACTGAACATTCGTCCTTTTTGCTGTGCTTGTATTTTCTAGGAGCATCAGAGGCTTTCTCCTTGCCAGAGCGTGAGAGTGGTCTATTGCAGTACAGTAGTGCCCTCTGATGGTGAGTATTGACACGGAGGAACTCTTTGCTCGCTTTAGACTTCACTAACTTAAACGGTATTCCCTGACCTCTTTTCTGTTTGAGACTTTTTTTGGCTTGGAGGTAATCCAGTTTTGAACTAAGGAAGTGACAGAGAACAAAGTCAAGAAGAATTAAGGAAACTGTCAACGTTTCCAATAACTGTTCTGACAAATCTGGATAGTTTTTATGAAGAAAGATGTAATTGCATGTAACTGTCCAAATATATTTTGCTAGATGTTTTCCTGACGTGCCCATGAGATCTGTGTAATGCCTACCTGTCAGGGTACTGTCTGCCCTGTTAACTTCATTTATGTAATGAAAGTGCAGTTCATACCAGCTACTTGCCCAAACAGTTGAAAGCACTATTTGCTGCAGTAAGTTGTGAAGTCACGGCAATTTTGTTCCTTTATTTAAATTCTGGGACAGCTCAGACATTAAGCTTTTATCAAAAAAGTTGTCATAACATATAGCAAAAGAGTGCACTGGTGGAACTTAAAAAATCTTAGTATACCTGCATGCAAAGAGGAAGCAAGCAGCTTTGAGATCACTGCCTGCTTAACATCTGCATGCTGTGCGCAAAGGCTAGAGCACTTATGCTGACTGACACAATCAGTTAGTGAATCCTGTCCCCATTAAGGCTTGTTAATAAAGTCTGAAAGCTAATAAAGGGTTTCAAGCACAACTGCTTACCCTGCCAGGATAGTGTATGCAAACACAGAGTACGTGACTGCTGTGGAGAACTCAAAATAGACTCCCGAAGGCTTAAATAGGTAGAAATGTAGAGGACACATGTAGGGTTGAGAGGATAATTTGTGTAGCTAGTTGCCCGGTTTGATTTTACCTCTCTTCACATTGTGCTTGAATACTTCTCTTGTTATTTCTTCCAATGACTTCCCCTTTACCTTTAGTAAATGTTAAACACTGACTTTGACCACAAAGGGTTTTTTTGTACTTTGTTTTGGCCTAGTATATTGCTTAAGTTATGTAAGAACAGAAATCTTTTAAAAAATACTAATGACTTGTTATTGGTGCACATATGGTTGAATCAAACCTTTGTGGTGCTTGGATGAAATTCATACCTCAACAGAACCTCACAATATAGTGTGTAAAGCTTTTTAAATCCTCTATGGTCTTATTTAAGCAGTATCCCTGGCTAGGTTGTACGTGTCTGTAAATGTAAGTGAAATACACTTGTATGCTAGTTACTTACTTTTTTTCTCCTGTGCATTTAAGTACTAGCTTAAAATGTAATCTGTGAAGATTAGCTAAAATGTTAGCTCTATAATTAGTGAAATGCCAAAACACTTTGTCCACTTAGTAACCTGTAGTTGCCCTCATGCAGGCAATCCACAGGGCTATTGGAGCAGACGAGAGCAAGGCAGCCGGTCATATCACAGTGTCTTGTTAATAACTTCACTGGAGCTTGCTGTTGCTGGCTGTTAATTTGTGTTATTGACATGTCCTTTGGATTTTTTTCTTTTGCGTCTGAACTCTTTCCTCTATAAGGCAGGAAAAATCTGACCAGATGTTAATTGTGCGGGAGGTGATGAGAG